GGCTAGCCAAACCGGAATCTCATAGTCTACATAATTGAAAACAAAATCGCGAACACGCGCCCTTTTTGCAAGAGAATCGGCTCGAAAGTTTAAAGACCGCGGGATATAAGATAGAGAAAAGCTCGTAAAACTATCCCGACAAAGCAGGAAATCTTCTAAAGTTGATGATAGATTAGGCCAATCTTCTTCTTCGTCAATAATTTTAACCAATTGGAGGCAATCTGTTTGGAGATGTAGAGATGAGAAACCTAGATTCCGTATCGTCTTCATTGCCCATATTGCAGCTTCGAACTCAGCGTGCAGGGGAGAAGGAGCTCCCATCCGCGTAAAGGAGCCTAGCAAGGTGCGGCTACCATTCTGCATCAAGATGAAACCTCCCCCAAACAAACTGTCCTCATTGCCCCATGAAGCGTCAACCTGACATAAAAACTCCTCACCTGCGGAGTTTCCCCAAGTTGTGAAAGAATGAGGGTTGACGACTGCGGCTGCCTCCTCCACAAGATTGGCAATTTTCCAGGTCTCTGCTTCCTGTATCGCAAGTTCAGCTGTGTCCTTAAGGAGCACTTCCTTGTCGTTAAAGGCTTTATCATTCCTAGCTTTCCAGATATACCATAAGATCTATGGAAAAACTTGCATCTGCTCCTCTGTTATACCATAAGTATGTGTTCTAAATAGCAGAAAGTCCATGTTAGAAAACAGAGCATCACACGGGAAGACCCCTAGAATAAAAGGTATAGGGGACAAAGCCCATGTTTGCGCCGCCTGGGGACATTCAAAGAAGACGTGATTGATAGTTTCATTATCGAATCCACACCTGGGGCATGATCTGTCTGGACCACAATGGTGGTCTACTAATTTGCTGCAGGAGGCGATACAGCCCGTGAGGATTTGCCAGAGGGTATGCCTGATCTTCCGCGGGGTTTTTAGATGCCACACCCTATTTTGTAGAGCAGTCGTGCTTGGTTCCACAAGCCCTTGGGGTTTAGCTATGTCCGCCATCTCACACGCTAGCTCGTAGCCGGATTTGACCAGTAATTCCCCGACTGTGTATAGATCAAACTATAATCATCCATTTCAAACTTACGTAATGGCTTGAGACTCAAGATTTTCTCGGCATCTGCCGGAATTATCAATGAACGGACCAAGTCTTCTTTCCAAGCTTTGGACTCAAAGTCTATTAAGTGGTTAACATAAAGATTTGAGTCCTGCTCATTACTCAGACTAACGGCAGGTCGTGCCGGAATCGATTGTATCCACGGGTCGCTCCACACTTTAGTATTAAACCCTGATTTTATTGTTTTCCTTAGACCCGACTTAAGAAGATGCTTGGCTACCATGATACTTCTCCAGTCGTAGGATGGTGCGTTGGACTTCTCCACCTCTAATGGGTTTGAATAGCGGTAGTATCTACCTTTGAGCACCCGGGCGAGTAAAGAGGATGGATAACAGATTAACCTCTACAGTTGTTTAGCAAGTAGGACGAGGTTAAAGAGTTTTAAGTCTCTAAACCCCAATCCACCTTTGCTTTGAGGGATACAAATCTTGTCCCATGCGAGCCAGTGTAGCCCGCGATTATTAGACTTTGTGCTCCACCAGAAACGAGATATAGCTGCTCTCATTTTGGTAATAACATCCTGTGGAAGGAGATAAGTAGACTTTACGAAAGTCGGAATAGCCTGCGCCACCGATTTAAGTCAAACCTCCTTTCCTCCTCTAGATAGTAGTTTTGAAGACCATGAGTTGACTCTGTTGTTTAACCTTTCCTGAACATAAGAGAAAACTTGTTTCTTCGAACCACATATCTTTTCCGGTAATCCCAAATACATCCCCATACCTCCCTCTGTATTGATCTCAATCGCCTGTTTTAGAGCTTGTTTCCCTTCTTGTTTAGCTTTACTTCCAAAGAAAATCGAAGATTTTGTGTAGTTCAGTTGCTGACCAGAGGCTTGGCCATACAAATTGATTATCTTTAGAAGTTCCGTACATTGTCCAATCTCCGCTCGACAGAAGAAGAGGCTGTCATCTACAAAGAGAAGGTGAGAAATTGGCGGACTTGCTTGGGCTATCTTCACCTGTAATGCGTCCTTCATCTTCCGCTCCTCTCATTTGACTTATTAAGGCTTCTGTGCAAATAATAAAGAGGAAAGGGGAGAGTGGATCTCCTTGGCGAATGCCTCGCGATTGATAAATTTTCCCTTTGGGAGAACCATTGATTAAGACTTCGTACGAGACTGAAGATACACAAGTCATGATCCAATTAACCCATCTGGTATCAAAACCCAGTTTAATCATAAGTGCCTGAAGAAAACCCCATTCCACCCGATCATATGCCTTACTCATGTCAGTCTTTATCGCGACAAACTTTGAGTTGCAAATTGGGTTCCCCCATAAGGCATGAAACGCTTCCTGGGCTATCAGGATATTATCGGAAATAAGTCTCTTGGCAACAAAGGCCGATTGGGTTTCTGATATCAGGGAAGGTAAGACTCTCTTTAACCTTTTGAATAGGACTTTGGAGATGACTTTATAGCAGACATTACACAGGCTTATTGGGCGGAACTCCATCATCTCTCGTGGTCTTTCATTCTTCGGTATTAAACAAATGTTTGTTTGATTTAATCTGGTGTCAAAACGGCCTTCTTCGAAGAAAGTTCTAACAGTATGAACTATGTCTTTCTCCAAGGTTTTCCAGCATCTTTGGTAGAAAAGACCAGTCATACCGTCAGGCCCCGGTGCTTTCTCAGGATGAATATCAAAAACCGCTTGTTTAATCTCGCTATCGGAGGGAGAACGGGTTAACATATTGTTCATTTCGGTGGTAACTTTCGCGGTAACGTACCAGAGTGAATCATCATAAAGGTAAATATATTTTGAAAATACTCCGTTGCGACTTGTTCAATGCCCTCCTCAGTCTCAACCCAAGTTCCTGATGCTGACTTTATCTTAGTAATCCGGTTTCTGGCTCGTCTTTGCTTTGTGCTTGCATGGAAGAATTTTGTGTTGCGATCACCTTCCTTCAGCCAATTGGCCCGACTTTTTTGCTTCCAATATAACTCTTCATCTCGGTAAGCAGAGCAGAGTAACCATTTAAGGTTTAAAACATCTTCAGACGAGATGTTATCATCCAATTGTGCTTGCTCTAATTGCTTTTTTATCATCTCTATCTTCTTTGCCGAGTTTGTTGGGTTGCACTTCCTCCATCGTGAAATAGCTTTTCTGCATACACCAATCTTGGCGAAAAGATCATTTGACCCCGAGGGGATCGAGGAGTCCCAACTCTCTTCAATCATCTCGTGGAAACCTTCCTTGTCAAGCCATCTCTTGTCAAACCTGAAGTTTCGTTGGATGCAAATTTCCCGAGACTGTATTCGTGCGAGCACTGGTCGGTGGTCCGATCCCCATAACTTTAAATACTCCACATTTGTGTGGGAAAAAAGAGCATGCCAATCTTCATTTCCTACTGCTCTATCCAGGCGGCATTGGACACGTCCAGATCATCTGTATCCCAGCCACGAAAGAGAGTTCCCCTTGTACGGGAATTCGATCATCCCGCAGGCGTCTAGCATGTGTTTGAAGGCTAAAAAGGTGGATTCAGCACGTCTCCTACCTCCCCTCTTCTCATGGTTACCTACAATCTCGTTAAAGTCACCGCTCATGAACCATGCTCCAGATCGTTGAAGGCTGAGAGAAGTCAGCTTCTCCCATACAGCTCCACGGCACTCAATGACCGAATCACCATACACAAATGTCATGAAGACTTTGTGACCTTCTATTATAGCCTCAATGTCAATCAACCTATCGTTGGAAAATAAAATGCGAACAGAAAAACAATTCATCTAGTACAAAGCTAAACCTCCGCTTCGCCCAGCTGGCTCCACGGTAAATAATTTATCATAACCAAAAGAAGTCTGAAAATCTTGCATAACAGAAAATGAGTTTTTTGTTTCAGAAAGAAAAAGAAAACACGGACGAAAATAGCGGTGCAGCTCTTTAAGATGTTGTTTAGTCAGATACGCTCCTGCACCTTGACAATTCCAAGAAATTGTATTCATATCTTCTTACTGGGTGGTTTCTGGGACACCACCGAACCTGATACAACATAGATACTCTTAGACAGAGCAGATGGAAACACCTTAATGCGAGGGACTTGTTTAACTTTTGTACCTGACGAGCGAGCGTTCAGGTTACTTCTTTTCTTGGGGGAAGCTTTGCTTCGGAGGACACTGAGCTTCTTCGATGCTTGAGCACCGGAACGCTCTGACTTCTTTGGGGAGTTTTTCCTGGCAGTAGCTTTAGGACCCCCTCTTGGAGCTTTTTCTCCAGCTCCTTTACGATAGTACGTCTTTGTCGTCTCCATAACCGGAGGAGGCCTCTTCCAGTTGTGTTTCTGGTACAATGGTTGCCTGGATCTCATTCATCCCATAATCCTCTTGATCAAGCTCCTGGGAGAGTTGTGCGAGAGAGCCAATCTTCTCTGCTTGGTCTTCCAGATCATCTAAAAGCAGATCATCATTGTCAATCATATACTCATCCATTTCCAGATCCGCGAGCTCTTTCATTTCTCGGTTTAATCTCTGTTCAAACTCCTCCTCTGCGTGTCCCAATCCCGAGTTCTGGTTATGCGCCAAAGATAACTCTCTGTTTTCGCTCCTCGGGGTCAGTGCCTTTTTGCGTCCCATAACCAGCACATTTTCCTCAATATTAGAGTCTGAGAAGCCCGCCATTCGCGTTTCATCCTCAACAGCATCTCTGTGGGATATGTCATTATCCTCTGTTTCCAGCCTATCTCTAGGACCCTCTCTGTCCTTCGTGGATGACATGTTTTCCACCACATGGTCTTTACCCTTCATCCTGCGAGTTCTCTCTTCCTCCGTCACATTATGATGATCCTCTGTGCGTCTGGGTCTTGTTGGCGCTCGAGCACTCTGTTGTTCCGGGACGTCGGAGATGGTTTTTTGTGAATCAGATAGAGAAATGTGGTCTCTTCGGTCTCTCAGGTTTCATATCCCGTGGCTTGCTTCCTTCCTCTTGTTATTGTGGTCTAAACCCTTCTCTACATTTCTTTCGCCACTCCGGGTGGGTCGCCATTCTACTCTGGGTTTAGCAGAGTAATTATGTTGATTGAAGTTCTGTTCATGGTAACCTCTTGAGTATGGGTGAAATCTCTCCTGATGTCGGGGAATGCGTTCATTGACATGTGGGTCAATTCTAGACCACACCTCTTTACTTCGGTCTTCCCGTCTTTCCTGAAGGTCGTCCCTCAAGTCTCTTTTTCCATTGTACGAGGTTCTGTTTTCACCAGGCGTATTCTCCATTTCCTTCCTCGGGTTGGTAAGAGTGGTTTTAGTAATCTTACGAGGGAAACTCCCACTAGCTTCAAAACCAGGTTTTAATGGGAACATCTCTCTTGCCGTAAGTTCCTCCCTTTCCTTTTGTTCAATCCTGGCTTTCCTGTTTCTTTCCCGTTGATCCTCTGTTAATTCTGGGCAAGTACCCTCTTCATGGGAAATCATCTTACATGTATAGCACCAGCGGTGGAGGTCTTCATATCTCAATGCCACTTTGATGATATCGCCATTCTTAAATTTTGCTGTTCTTTCAAACTGAAGTGGTTTATCCCCATTGATCGATACTTGGACTCTACCTCCTCTCTCGTCAACCAGAATGACATCACCTAAGGCAGCACCAATCGAACGAAACACATGATCCTTTTTGTAGTGGATTGGGAGTTGATAGGGTCAGGTTTTACCCAAATAAAACTACTGCAAGTGCACAGCAAAAGCAGTTGTAGTACAAGGGGTTATCGAATCCCAAGGGAGTAAGTAAACTACACTAAAGAGTTCAGGTTCGGATTAAGCTAAGCGATAAATAATGAATGTAATACAAAACAGTAAAATAAATGCAGGAGGGCGTTTTTATGCTTGTTCTTAAAGTTCAGAAGGCTAAAGGCGCTAAGTCGGGACAGTTCGCAGGTTGAATCTGAGAGTGTAGAATGCATGCAATCAGGAATGAATTAAAACCGTCTTGAACATGAATCGCAAAGATATAACTAATCAATTCTCATTGCAGAAGCTATCTATGTCTAAATCACAGAGTTTCAAATCTCTTTGCAAACCCTAACAACCTAAACATGCAGTAATGATCAGGTTCAATTGTTCACAAAACTCCTAAGCCAAATCTCTTTGTACTAGGGCGTTTTGCTCATCTAATACTAGTTCAGGTGATTAATAATGCTCTCACATCTATCAAAAACCTAGGGTTTCGAAATCCAGATGATGTGTCTAAGAAATCGATATGAATGCAAGCACAGATGAAGAACCAATGAATTTCCTAGAAGTTTTTAGCAATTCTACAAACTCTTCTTCAACCTTTGAAAAGCCCTAACTTAACTAACAAACTACTCAGACATGGTGATTTGAGAAAACATCATGAAAAGAATAGATTGCATAAAAGAAATAAGAAGTAGAAATAAAGGAGTTCAAAATCTGCTCTGAAGGAGTCTGATTTGTCTCTCCAAAAGCTCTTCTACAAATCTCTCTCTAAAGCTCTCCAAAATAATAAGATACAAGATATATGCCAAAAGAATGGCTGAAAAACCTAATATACAAGCTAAAACACGATCTGGGGTCTTTTTGCAAATACTGGAACTTTTGGGCCAAAACTGTAATTTCTTCCCAATCTTTTAAAAACAAGCCACGACCTCCTTCCTTGGTGGGTGACGAGCGTCACCAGATTGGTGACGAGCGTCACCCATATGCATACTTTCCTCTTCGAGCTTGGTACTTCGTGGCTTCCACTCAGAATGCTCCAAAAGGTTCCAAAATCTCCAATTATGCTCCAGACATGCTATAACCTGCAAAAACTCTTCTATGACTCTAAAAAGACCAAAAAGACTCAATAAAAAGAACTTATATCATGGTTAAAAACCATAAAAACCATGATATATCAGGAGTCCTGATACTTTAATCCAAAACCTCATCGAGTTGGGAAAGTCATCATTCACAGTAGGTATCCATCTTTCTAAAGAAAAACTCCATCGGTTAAAATGGCAGGGTCTCTGATTTAAGACTTTGATTAGGTCTTCTTCAGTATCGAAATCGAACTGGAATTTCCCATTCCCTAGGTTAGTTCCCTTGACTCTTCCTTCTACATTCCAGATTCTGGCACTCGGCATCAACTTCAAAAAGGCATCAATACTTCTGCCTTTCGAATGAAACATATGTCCCACCAACGTGCGTTCGTATTGCTTTACCAAGTCAGAGAAATCGAACTTGGAATCTCAATAATATCATCTTCCTCCTTTTCAAGCCGGCGTCTAGTCTTGGAAATTCCGTTTCGTCTCGCTGTTTCGGTTGACGGAATCATGATAGCACCAGTAATTGAAAGGCACCACGATGGACCACCTTATATAAGGGGAAACAAAATGCTGGCCAAGTAAATCCCACTGCAGGAGCTCTGTTTCTCCCGTAATTGATCTGCAGTTCAAAATATTTCCCAGCAAACAAAGCACCATAAGGAGAGTACATAGCACACACGCTAGAGAACCCCGTTCAAGGGTAAACTTCTTATCCCGTTTGTTCCAATATCCAGGTTGAAAGAGAAACCTTACATTTTTGAGAGGGAAAATCTTAAGCCAATGGAGGTTTGGCAAAAGGGATGAATCAACCTAGTTGGAGCCTAGGTTGGCGAGATCTGAAAATCGCCAAAAAAATCTCCGGGTGCCCTAGCCGCTCTCATTTTTTTAGTTGAAAGTTTGATTTGTTACAGGTTTGTATTAATCAAATATATAAGGGAATAATATATTAACATAGAAGCATCATTCTGCTATGATCAAGTAAATTGTAATTTTTTTTTAGAGTAATTGCACTCACTAGCCCAAATTAATCACGAATTTAGGTGCCCGCTTCTGACCACTTTTCGGCGCAATTATTCATAGCATAAAGACTTAATTGCCCTTACTCTTGTAACCCATAATCACACCGTATCGGACATATGGTCCCCACATGCTACTTCTTAGATACGCCTCGACAATATAATCAAAAAGTTGGATTTACTTTTAAGTCATTCTCTCTCTCTTCTATCGTTTCAGTTTTCCTTTTACTCTTTTAGGGTTTCTGGCGAATGGAAAAATCGAAGACGGACTTTTTTCTTTCTCAGGCTATCGGATTTCCTACGCCACATCTTTTCTGCAGGATTTGAAGGCTAAGATGGTATAATTTTTCTAATTAACCGCTCCTTTTTTGTTCCGCGACTCTGTAACATTTCCAATCTGGGATTTTCGTTGTTTTTTTCAACGTTGCGATCTCACTATCCGATGCCTTTTCTTACAGGAAGATATCCCAGACTTGTCCAGACGAATGATCGTCGCCGGTCAGAGAACTTTTGGACACATGGTTAATGGCTATCAGAGGGCTGCACTAGTAGAAGAAATTAAAGACAGCCTCGACGAAACCGAGTAAAAATTTATCCGCGAGTCACAACTGGGTCAATTGCTGGACATCCATGAAAAGCTCGCATGGGGGGGGGGGGGGGGGGGGGGGGGGGGGGGGGGGGGTTGGCCTGTTTCTTCAGTCCCGCCAGTTAGAAGTTAGCCGAGACAACAAGATCTGGATCCTGTTCGCCGAGTCGCCAATTCGATTCTCGCTGAGGGAGTTTAAACTTGTAACCGGACTCTGCTGCGGAAAGTTTCCGCGAAAAGAGAGGACGCGCCGGAAGAACACAAAGCCGGTGAAAGAACCGTTCTATGGCAAGCTATTCGGACAAGAGGAGAATGTTACGGTAGATAAATTCGTTTCGATTTTGAGGAGGAGGTCCCCTAGAGACAGTGAGATGAAACTCAAATATGCATGCCTTGCCCTCGTTGATGGTTTTCTGCTCCCCACAACCCACTACCCAAAGATTAAAGTATTGAAAGAACACGCTGAAATGGCGGAGAGTCTCGAAGAGTTTCTCGCATATCCGTGGGGGCAACTGACATTCGATCGGCTGATGAATTCCATCAAGGAGAGAGACCTAGCGCAACTAGTTACTGCAGATGTCGTTGTTCAAGGGCTGTTCGTTGCGCTGCAATTTGTTGTCTACGAAGCCGTGCTGACCATTCTTGGGGATGCTGCTTTGCAGGCCGATGATGACGATTTTGAGGAGATACCATTCCAACCGCCCCAGCTAAAACTAAGCCACATCAGAGCACTGGACCAGACTTCAAAGGTGAGTGTTTCTAACCCGGGTTAAGTCGGCAACGCTAGCGTAGTTGCCTAATTATTTGGTTCATCGTTGATGCTAAACTGAGGAACTGCTAACTTCGCTGTCTAAGTTATCAATTCTTTTGTTGTGTCACTAATTTTGGAAACTGATAACTTGATTATTGTACTCAACGATTGTTAAATCTGGAACCATCATTTTCAGATCCGCTAACTTTGCTAACCCTGCAACCGGTATCTCGATTTTTGTTACGTTTTCTGTACATTGATATCTTGGGAATGCATTCTTTAGGTGGAGGTTGTCTCAATTATTCGACCGGATGCTGTGATAAACGCCAAGGAGGAAGATCTGTCGTGGTCTGACGACGAGGATGATGTGCGCGTTGCCAACATGGTTCGACTTATTGGGGAGGGCTTCAAATTCAGCCGCGAAATATTTGTTGGAGGTAGGAAAACAGCAGAACTGGTAGAAGAAACTGCGCCCAAAGCAGGAACGAAGGCCAAAAATAGCCACGGAAGGGAAATCAACAACCAGGCAACCTGGTGAACTTCGGAAGAAAACGGGTTGAGTGATGGCTTCTGATAACAACATCGCTTCAGTAGTGGCGTCGTCTGTTGCTGAAGCAATAAAGGATTTGAGGGGAGGATCGTTGAAGCTATTAACAAGGAGATAGTTGCCAATAACCAAATTGTTATCAGCGCCGTGACTAAGTGGTTTCAAGACCATTTTCTGGTGGAGCATAGAGAAGACCAACCCTCCCGAGTTGTAAGTACCATGTATACGTCTCGACAGAGAGCAAAAGATAGCAAAAGAGATGCACCCGGCGACATAAATGACGGTGATGTTGGTAGGATGGTAGCAGACATTGCTTCTTTTTATACGGAGGATGTCTTAGCGGCGGTGCTGGTTAGTCGCAGAGCTACAATAACTTTTTTATTTGCATCAGCACTTTAACGAAGTGACGTCGGCGTACATGTAGGATGTGAACGGTCGAATGAGGGGCGAGGGACTACCCCTGTCCGGGCTAGTAATAAGGTTTCACAGTCGACCATCCCTGAAACAGTAAGCTATACTGTTAACTAAATTAGGCGTCAACGCTAACTTTAATTTTGCGGTTATAACATACATACTTCGTCTAACTCTTTCTTTATTGACCGTAACTGGATTTAAAATGGGACCGGTAACATTTGTATTTGGCGTATCATTGTTGTAGGATAACGCCGGAGTGGAAGTTAAAACTTCCGTTACAGATAATCCTCTTACCGCAGTCTCCGATGTGGGAATTTATGGGGACAAGGGGGAAGGGGACAATGTTTTAGATCTGAACAGCTCCCAGCTTGCGGGCCAGGTGAGGAAAGTCTGTGCAGTTGTGATATCTCATTCCTTTTACGGACGTTTGCTTACACTTGTTTAGCCACAGGCCTCACCGTACTTGGAAAATTCCGAGGTGAGGAAGCTGGACTCTGGAGAGGAAGGATCAGACGCAGCAGCCGGGGTAAGGATACACTTACTTGCATCTGTAGGAAAACGTTAGCGTCCCCTGAACCTGTTAGTGTCCGCCAAACCTGTTAGCATCCGCCGAACCCGTTAGCATCCCCCAAACCCGTTAGCGTCCGCCGAACCCATTAGCATCTTCCGAACCCGTTAGCGTCTGCCAAACCCGTTAGCGTCCTCCAAACCCGTTAACGCCCTCCGAACCCGTTAGCGTCTGCCGAACCCGTTAGCGTCCGTCGAACCTGTTAGCGTCTGTAGATCAGTATTAGCGCCTGTAGGAAAATATTAGCATTCGTGACATAAAATTAGGGTCCTTACAACTTTTTCACCGCCCCGCGCGATGTTAGCGTCCGCGATGTCAAGTTTCCAGTAGGTAGACATGTTGATGCCCCTATACACTTGCTGTTCACACAAACAAGGTCTGTCCATACACATCTTAGCCTCCACATGAACCCCTCCAGGAACAATTAGTCACGTCATCCCGGTGCATACTGTTAGCAGTGCGTGCACATTGTTAGCACCAGCCTGCTATTGCGATAGTGTCAACATCGCATAATGCTCGCCACTGTTTTATTTTGCTTACCAATGAAGTCTATAGGTTGTGCAGGTTGGCGTTGGGCCAAACGCGGGGGTCGACAGTACTGTAGAGGGCAAGGTGTATGAGCTAAGGGAAGTAAGAATGCCCTAAACTGTCACACTAACTTTATTCCTTATGCTGCTAACACTCGAAAAAGAACCTCATACGTTTGTACTATCAGTTGCAGAATATCGAGAGGATCGCCATACCCATGTTCTCACTTGGTCTTACCCAAGGCCAGCAGGGAGATGTTGCCGCTGAAGTCAAACCAAACACAGTTCACAAGGGTACTCGTAAGAGCAAGAGGTCGCGGACCAAATCTTCTAGGCTGGACGAAGACAGATTTGAGTGCGTTAAGAGGCTTAAGTCAAACATTGGCCAGCAAACGACACAGGAAATAGACAACAATAAAAGGATGGAAGAGAGATTCGAGGCAGCCATGAAATCGCTAACCAGGTTCCATTTCCTGCCCATAAATCCTCATTTTTCATTAACGCCCTACGAAGTGCTAACATTAACTCATCTATGTAGCGTTAGCACTGGGACGTGGTTTGTGTCAGCCAAGGAGATTAAAGAATTGTTGGCCTTAGCCAACCCTACACTAGCAAAGGTTGGTGACTTCTAATCCTATTTTACTAAAACGCATATGCAACTCACCTTTGTACTCGGTAAGTATGAGTAACCATTTACACCGCTCACACATTATAGTACTCTGAGTATATAGGTCATGGATGCTCTATGCAATCTGAGTAGGCGCATTCTGCGGGTCGATGAGCGTGACGGGTGCCCTCTTCGTGTAGACGTACTTGACTCCACTTTTGTCTCCCAGCTTACTCGGCTTTACCCCAAGTTCGTTAAGTCTGGTGACCCTGGAGGCTTTAGGTTTCCCAAACATCTAGTTGCCACGGTACATGGGGAAGGTGAATCAGACCGATTTCAGCTATTTGAGGAGGCGGACGTCCTGTGTATCCCTTTCAACTTCAACAAGATCCATTGGGTAGCCCTTGCCGTGCATCTCCATCTTCGGAGGATAGAGATTCTTGATTGCGACCCAACCATCAAATTGGATGCCAGCATCCAAGAAATCGTTACC